TGCTCCCGACTTCATATCCGGAATGTCATTTACAATATATTTTTATGTTTAACATGCAGGGGAGCTACATCTATACCATGAGATCGGGAAAAACGCGCTCTTGAGAGCTATTTTACTCAGACAAGTCCAGAAACAACCCGGATTGATCAAAAAAGAACCCCGACAAGGTACGGCAAGTACCAAGATAAATCCAGAAAGAACCCGGATCGATCATAAAACAACCCCGAAGAGATGCTGCAAGTACCAAGACAAATTCAGAAAGAACCCGGATTGATCAGAAAACAACCCGGATAAGGTACATACAAGTTTAGAAAGAACCTGGACGAAGTGCAAATAACCTGAAAGAGGTACATCAAGAACCAGAGAAGTCTAGAAATGACCTAGATGAATAAAAACAACTCGAAAGAGCATCACAGCTTAGTCAAATCAGAAAACAACCCGGATAAGATACTTACAAGTTCAAAAAGAACCTGGACGAAGTGCAAACAACCTAGAAGAGGTACATCAAGAACCAGAGAAGTCTAGAAATGACCTGGATGAATAAAAACAACTCGTAAGAGCATCACGGCTTAGTCAAACACTAAGCTCGGGGGCTCGGCATTCGCTTCAACTATGGCCGGGGGCTCGAATTCAAGGATGAAAGACCAAGAATACAAGTACTCAAGACTACAACAAAGACAACACATCAAGACCCTTCATCCGATTTCTATTCTAAAGAAAAGTACTCGGAGAAGGCTCGGGGGCTGCGGGATACATAACCCCAAAAAATTTTTGAAGACAAGAATCTGGACCCTCCAACTTTTGCAAGCAAAAGCAAGAGGCTCGGGGGCTACACTCACTGAGTGTGGTTATGTGTAGGTCCCGATCTAGGGACCCCTGCCCTCCTTTATATAGTCCAGGAGAGGCGGGAGTCCTAGTCGGTTACAAAGTAGAGATCCTAGTAGGATTACGTATAACTAGTTCTAGTAGGATTACATGTAGGGAATTCTAGTTGGACTAGGTCTTCTTCTCTCTTCTCCGTGGGAAACCCCATGGGTCCCGTATCGACACTAATGCTTAAGTATTTGTTTCCACATAAGGTCTCATTCACTACTTTCATCCATGCTCAATATCCCAGGGCTGAAGGTGGTCAGTTGCTTTTAACTGATGACCATTGGGCTATGGCAGAAAAAATGCTTAAATTTCTTGAATTGTTTTATGATGCTACAGTTGCATTGTCTGGTGTGTACTATCCTACATCTCCACTCATGATTTATTATCTTATTAAGATTGCTATGCATCTAAAGAATTATGCTAATGATAATCAAATCAGACATATGGTTTAACCTATGATAGACAAATATAATAAATACGGAAGGGACATACCTTTGCTTTATTCTTTTGTATTCATCCTGGACCCCAAAGATAAAATGAAAGGTTTCATTAGAGTGCTTACGAGGTTGGGTACCCTTACTAGTACAGATTATAGTGCTTATCAGGTTGGCACTAGAGCTTGACTTACTGATGTCTACAATAAGTATGAGGAGAAATATGGAGGTGTTAGGTTGAGGAGGACTGTCCCTCCTAACCTATCTGGTAAAAAAAGGTCTGCTGGGGATAAAATTTATGATGATGATAGTGATGTTGGTGGTGGTGGTGGTATGCGTACTGCAGCTGCTACTCTAATCATGGCTAGAGATACATCTGCAACTGCCCTGCTGCAAGCTGCAAGTTCTTCAGGTTCTAATGTTTCTAAACTTGTTTCTTACTTGGACTGTAACACTGTGAACCATTTAGATGATGATTTTAACATCTTGGACTGGTGGCATCAGCACAAACTCACATATCCAGTGTTGTCAATCATGGCTAAAGATATTTTTACTGTTCCTGTTTCAATCATATCTTCAGAATCCACTTTTAGTATGACTGGCAGGATCATCAAGGAGCGGCGGAGGAAGCTAAAGCCTAAAATAGTGGAGATGCTGACCTGCATCAAAGATTGGGAGGCTGCTGAAGCTCGGCTGCAACACATGGTGGAGGACATGGAGCTTGAATAAGCATTTAAAGAACTTTATTTTGATTAGTTATCATTTATGTAATGGGACTGTAATATTATGGACTTTGGACTGGACTTTGATGAACTTTATAATTGAAGCTGGGCTGTACTCTTTTTTCCTGTCTAGGGTTTCTCAGAAGGGTGAGTTTTACCTAGACACGTTTTTAATGAGGCAGCCATTGCACTAAAGCTCTGAATAAAATGTTATTTTGGTCTTTGCTGTGTTTGTGTGATTAAGTTCTCTGAACATGTAACTTTGTGTGATTTTGACTCTTTGATAAGTTCTTTGATTCTGATCAGTTTGTGAATTTGATCAGTTTGTGTGACTTTATGATTCTGATAAGTTTGTGTGACTTAGTCTTTGATAAGTTTGTTGATTCTGAACATTCAGACTTTGTGATTCTAATCAGTTTGAAGTGTTGATCACTTATAGTGTCAGTGCCGGTACGGGCACTACTGGGCCGCCGTGTCCAGTGACATGGCACGACACGGCTAAGACCTGATAGTGCCGTGTCTAGGCCGGCACATCGGCACGGCGGCACTAACCGGCATGGCACGGCTAGTCTACCGTGCCTGGCCATGCCCGTGCTAGTGCCGTTCTGTGCGGCCTGTTTGGCCGACTATACAGTCCTCTAAGAGGATTAGTCGCAGACACTAGACGAAGGGGACGACAGCTCCCGTGCGGCGGGCAGCAGAACAGGGAAGTGCGCCGAGGTGCGAGGAGGTGGGTGGCGGCGGGGCGGCACCGGGGGGCAGCACGGGCGGCGGGGCGGCGTTGCGAGGTGCGGAGGATTTGTTTTTATTTTTCTTTTTTTATTTTATTTTTGACGGGCGGGGTGGGGCCTGCGAGGTGCGGGACGCAGCACGGGCGTTTTGATTTTGACGGACGCTGTTAACGGGAGCCCATCCGACTAAAAAGGCCGATCACTTTATGAAACTCAAAAAAAAAAAAGCCGATCACTTTTCCGTGTGCCCATCCGAATACACGGAGAAGGATTTCTTCCGAGAGCATACGTATCTTTCAGAGTGAACTTTAGCATCGCAAGGGATATATTCCGTGTGCCTGTTTTAAACACACGGGGGAGGCTGCGGCTTTGCCGAGTGTTTTTACACTCGGCAAAGAGCCCTTTGCACTCGGCAAAGGCTTTGCCGAGTGTTTGTAGCACTCGGCAAAGTCCGCTCGGCAAAATTTTTCTCGGCAAAGGGTCTTTGCCGAGTGCTTTTTATCGGGACACTCGGCAAAATAAAAAAATTTTGCCGAGTGCTTAGGGCGGCACTCGGCAAAAATTACTGTGCCGAGTGCCCTAGCCCAGGCACTCGGCAAAGTTTTTTTTAAAGTACTTTGCCGAATGCCCCTGCCTAGACACTCGGCAAAGTTTTTTTTAAAAAAAATTACTTTGCCGAGTGCCCCTGCCCAGTCACTCGGCAAAGTTTTTTTTTAAATAATTTCTTTGCCGAGTGCCCCTGTTTAGTCACTCGGCAAAGAATTTCTGAATTTTTTTAAAAAAAAACTTTGCCGAGTCCCTGGGCAGGGGCACTCGGCAAAGTACTTTTAAAAAAAAAAACTTTCAGGGCTCACAACTGCCAGCAGGGATGTTCCAACAAAACAACAAGTTTTTAGGATTTCTATATACTCGTTTCTTCTTTTCTATTATTTTTGTTTCAAATTTGTAATAAAAAAATGTTGTGCAATGGAAACGATCTTGTCTACCTACGATGTACCTACTATCAAGCGGAAAACCAGAGTACTAGGAAAAAAGTGCCCATTTTCAAATAAACTAGAAAACCTGGGCGCAGCTTTGCCGCACCATCTTGATCACCGATGTTATTTTATTGCGCTATAGTTAAACAATAGAGTATTGAAGCTCAATAAGGAGCTCTAAGGTGTTTGATATTTTCTCTCATTTTGTTTGGCTGCTGTGCTCTTATTCTGTAGTTCAGCAATGTCACCCTACAATGACAAATTTAGAAAGCATAATAACATGATTACAGATGGATAGCATGGAGGAGAAATAAATGTAGCTTATATAGCGGATAAGATCATAAGGGTACAAAAGCAGTGTCGACAATAAGTAATAAGAACTACATCAATTATTTAGTAGAAAATAAATAAAGGTCAGTTGTTATGGCATTCTTTAATGACAATCTTCAATGAAATATTAGACAAAATAGCATATGTACTTACAGATATGACTGTTGTAGCAGCCAAAGACAAGCCTCTGATTTATGCTGATAAACATGAGAATGCTGTTAAGAACTCAATTAAGTGTTTGCTATTGATTAGACGGGAAGGTACATTGCAACTACACATTCAATCCACGTCATCTTCCTTGTACGTAATCAGTATCTGTGAACACTAACTTAGGAATGCCTACCTATCGCCAGAGCAGAGATGCATTTGACCCCTTCCTGCATGTTGTTTTTCCTTCGACAAATCTGAGTGTATCCAGCTTTTATATGTCTCTTTGGCTTATGAGTGGCCAATGATAATACCTACAACTTTGAAACCATGAACTGAGACCAAGGAAAACACAGTGTCTAATTGTACCAAGATAAATGTGATGGAATGCCTTAGCTCAGGCTGTAATTCTTAACATGACTTCTGCAGGCTAAATTAGCACATTCAGATAATTTTAGGCATGCACAAAGGTCATATTGTCACAAAGCTATAAGCATATGAAGACATATTATTATACTATATCCTAATCTGATAACCATTCAGGAACTCCTCCATCTAGAAGATTTAGCTTTTCACTTTACATAAGACTTCAGTTGATTTAATAAAGTTTGATGCAAATTATAAGTTATAACATATTTGTTAGTGTGGATACAAGTTAATTTAATAAGTAATATAACATACTAATGCTGATAACCTACTTCTGGGCTCTAATTTACAGCACTGTGTATCACTACAGTGCCAAGGCAAATGTCGAGCACATTACGCAGCTGTTTGCATATCCTGATATCAATGCATTGTAAGGTCCAGATGTCCATGTGTGGCAATGCTCTCAAAAGCTGAACAACATCAAATACTGTCTATTTAATAGATTGCCAGCACCTAAACAGTGTACTTAACAAACAAAAGCGGATACCTTTGAAGGCTGAGTTTGACTTCTTTCCCACTGCTGACAAACTATCTTGCGATGCAATTGTAGCCTGGTACTTTGGGGGAAGCCCCTTCACCAGATGCTTGCCACTGCTATGATTTTCGTTATTCATCACAACAGCTTCATCAGAACTTACTAATTTGTCAGCGTGTGCATTCATCTCTTCTGGAATCTGCCTAGCCGCTTCTTTTGAAGTGTTGCAAGTGAGAGAGTTCCTCCTCACAATCCTTTTCTTCTTAACCTCGAGTCTCTTCAGACTCTATGCTTCCTTACGTTTCTTCCATTCATCATTGCCAGCAGCCTCAATGACAGCAGGGAGTGAACTAGTCCTCATGAGTGTGCCTGCAATATTCAGTAAGTATTTACAGATATTGGGAATTTGCGGAAAGCTGTTGATGTTTATTTCAAGAAACACTGAGATATTCGATTTCTCAACATATGACTGTTACATTAAAACATGTGTTCTTTCGTTTACATTGGCATTATGCTTTAACAAATCTATATATTAACTAAAAACCAATTACAAAAACTACAATGTTTTGAAAGTACTTTAGACACACATCTGTGTGTATTGCTTCTGTACATACACTCTTTAAGTATTCATGGAAATATCAAATACTAAACTTCAAACTGTTACATCACGCAGTTTACTACTGATATTTTCTCAGAAATATTTGATTAAGAAATACACACCTATAACAGAATGACTGAATCAACAGAGTTTTATGCAATAAAATATTATGCCGGCTACTTAACACAGTTTTGCAAAATAATTCACAACTACCACCATTTACCAAAGCGATCACAATCGGCACTGCTAAGCACGGAATCTAAAAGCCAAATTAACTATCAAGGGTAGCAAATACTAAAGATAGTATAAACCCCACAAAGAGAAGCCGCACGCACCTTGCAATCTCTGCCCATCACCTCCCGAAGAGGCAGAGGAAGGGCTCCCGCTCGCCGGCAGCCTCGCTGCGTGTTCCACGCCGAGACCCCCGCCATCAAGGCAAGAACCCCATCCAGCCTGCCCCTGCTGCCTCCCAACCTTCGACGCCTCGGCCAGGACCGGCAGCGAGCTCGTCCGCGGGAGCGCGCGCGGCGCCGGCACCTCCACCAGCGGCGTCAGCATGGCCGCCACGGATGACGACCAGGGGAGCTTGTCCCCCTTTCTGTCTAGCCCGAACCGGCCGCCGAGCGACAACCCGAGGCTGAGTTCGACCTCCTCCATCTGCTTGCGCAGCTGCCCCGGCCTCTGCTCCGGTGGCGGCTCGTCTCCCTTCCCAATCCCACACAGCAAGTCCCGCCGCCCAAGGGGATGGGCTGGGGGCGCGGCGCTGCTGCTGTTGCGTGCGGCGCGAGCGCGGTGGCGCACGCGGAGGCGCGCGCGGGCGGGAGGTGGCGCCCGCGGAGGCGCTGCGGCGGCGGGCGGGCGGCGCTGCGGGGGCGGGTTGCGCGGGCGGGCGGGCGGCACTGCGGGGGCGGGCTGCGTGGAGGCGCGCTGCGGCGGCGGGCGGCGCGTGCGGGGGTTGGGGGCACGGGCGGCTGAAGATAGGGTTTGGAGGGAGGGGTGAGGGTGGGCCGGTTGGGCCATTTAGGCCGCGGGCGTTTTTTTTATTTTCTTTGCCGAGTGCCCACTAGGCCGGGCACTCGGCAAAATTTGTTTTTATTTTTTTTTAAAAACTTTGCCGAGTGTCATCCTTGGGCACTCGACAAAATGTTTTTTTATTTTTTTGAAAACAAATTTTGCCGAGTGCCTCCTGGGCCCGGCACTCGGCAAAGACATTTTTGCCGAGTGCTCCCCATGGCACTCGGCAAAATATTTTTTTTTTATTTTGGACCCAAATTTTTTTGTGTAGCCTTGTGACAGTATTTAAAGCTCTACTCTAAAATTTGGTGAAATTTTGAGTTTTTTAGGTATATTTCATTAATTTATTTCGTTTCGTTGATTTTTTCGGCGTATTTCAAATTTGAACTGCAGGTCCATGGAATAATGGAATTTGGTCATCCAAAAATTGATATTCATGATATTTAGCGTATGTTGAGGCCGTATCTAGGGAGTCACATGAAATCTCGAGCATCTCGTTGACGTAACATGTCGAGTTAGTTGCGGGAAAAGTGAATTTAAATTATATAAAATCCAAACGAAGTCCGAAAATCACGAAACTTGTGGAGGCGTCGTGTTATCGCATGTGGAGGCTGTGGTAAAAAATTGGGAAGATTTCGAGCAAGTAGTGATGTCGGATGCCAAAAACGAAGTGATCAGATGTGAAACGAAGTGATCACATGTGAAACGTATCTTTTCCCGCAACTAATTGCGGATGGGAGGGTATGATCGTTTCATCTTCTCTCTGTTTTACCTTCTACATGTTTCAGCAGTTCATCTGTGTTGTTCCATATATTGCCATCAGTTTGTTTCATATGACCAGTCATGTCGTTTTATAAGATGTCTTATGTCTGTTTCTGTCAGATATATGCTCTACGTATGTGTTTTCTTTTTACAGTCATGTTGCTTCGTATATAGCCTTATGCTTGTTGCAAATATGAGATGTATATCATGCCAGTTTCACTCTGTTATGATTCATGAATCAAGTTCACATGTTTTTGATCTTCATATGTTTCACATGATATATGATCTAGCATGTATTTTCACCATGGATATAATCGATATCATGATTTCAATGATTAATATTTCTTTATATGTCATCATCATGCTGTTAATTTATGGAATTAAAATGACATGGAAATTGCCTATTATTCTAACAACCTCACCCCCGCCGCTTCTTCGCCGTCAACCAGGACCTCATTGTGCACAGCATCGCCTATCTCCTGGACGGCGTCTGCATGTTCATTTTCGACGACTGCCTCTACCACCTGCTGCGCTGGGAAAAAAATTGCGTGCAGTTTGGCTGCACCCACGCTCCCTGCAGACCCTATCCCGATACCGTCCATGTGGAGATCCGTAGAATCCAACGCTCGCGCCTGTCCGTGGGAGCCAAGCGCCCGAGCCGCGGGTACAGCCAGACCGCACCGAATTTTTTTCCCTGCGCCGCCATCAGACAGGGCCTTGTCGGCCGCAACCAGGAGCTCGAAGCGCCCTACGCCAGCATCGTCGTCACCGTGCCGGAGGACTACCGATCCATGTTCATCATGTTCTCCCGGGGCCAGGCAGTCGAACGTGACGAGATCTTCAGCTACTTCAGGGAGTATGTTATTATGCTTCAACTCGTTGACGCATGCATGCATGATTGCTATGCACTCGATCTCCTCTAAGCTAGCTTTGTGAATGCCATATATGTACATGCATGTGCATGATTGCATCCTCATCGAATAATGCAAGCAGGACCTGGGGCGACTGCATTGTCCGTGTTCTCATGGAGAAGACCACTGGTGGGGCGCAGCCAATGTACGTCCGCGTCGTCTTCAAGAGCAAAGCGTTCGTGAGCATGCTGCTCAACGGCAAGGGCCGCGCCTCGATCTTCATAGGCGGGCGTGAGATCTGGCTCCGCGAGTACATCCAGCGCAACAGGAGCAACAACTGAACTTCGGCCAGCCTATACGGCGTCCATCAGTAGTGCTGGTAGCTAGGACTAGGAGATCAGCGGGGAACTATGCATATGGCGTTGAGGAGTGGCGGCCGCCAGAGCATGCCGGCCGGTGGATCCTCCCCTGGATAACAAGAACTACAATACACAAAACAATGTTGCCATATGAAGATAAAATGCATGCTAATGATCAACCTCCAATAGCAACATCACCACATGGTTTTAGTTAAACTACCAAGGTGGACTGCGAAAATAGTACGGGCACTAGCTTTTTCCCCTCCTACATTATAACATTTGAATTTTTCTATTTGAGATTTTTTTTGCAAATAATTTGATTTTAACGTTCATATAGCTTATTTGTACTCAACCATTCATTATTACAATTGTATGCTGATTCAAATAGACTATAAAAAAGCATCAAAAGTTTGGAGACCAACTCAAAATGACCAACTAAGCGCTAAGTCTACCGGAGGACACTACCATAGAACAGTCGATAACTATCGCACTAGTAGAGAAACGACTTTTGATCCACTTCGAAATTTGGCTTCAGTCCCGGTATTTTCCGCGCCCGGGACTAGAGAAACCTTTAGTCCCGGTTGGTAGCTTCAACCGGGACTAAAGGTCCCTGCCCAACAGTTACCGAGGTGTGTCAGAGGCACGTCAGTGCGAGAATCTTTAGTCCCGGTTTGAGACATGAACCCGGACTAAAAGTGTGACTTTTAGTCCCGGTATGAGACACGAACCTGGACTAAAGGTACCTTTAGTCCCGGTTTATGTCTCAAACCCGGACTAAAGGTGTCTCCAAACTGAATTTAGAAGGAAAGCGTATCTTATCTAAGTTAGATGTGTGGTGGTTGGTGAGATGGTAACGCGTGCAAGAGCTGAAGTGGGAGGTCGTAGGTTTGAATCTCCACAGCTGCAACATTTTTTTTACCCAATAAACACCTCTACTCCCGGTTGGAGGAACCGGGACTAAAAATCAAGACCTTTAGTCCCGATTGCATAGTCCCGGTTTTAAAACCGGGATTAAAGGGGTTGAGAACTAGGACTACAAGTCATTTCTCTACTAGTGTCGGTTGCTTTGGAACTAGCAGTGATAATGTACCACTGTTAGTTAGTAGTTGTAATCAGCAGTGATATATCACCCTATCACTAGCGGTTGTAGCTACCAACTGGTAGTGAAAACATATCTGTCACTGGTGGTTACTCTGTTACTGGCGTTGTAGTCACGAAACAGAGTGATAGGTAGGTTTTCACTTGTTTTGTAGAAAGAAAAAATTCTAACATTTTCATATGAAGTCAAATCAAGACCTACTTTATACAAAAGTTGTAGACTTCAAAGAGATCTAAAACTTTGTAGTTGATAACTTTTTAACTTGAAATGGTGTATATGTACAAAAATGAAATGGTTGACAATGTCGAATTGAGACAAAGTCAACACCATAGTTGTAGTACTCGACAAGATCTACAACTTTGTAGTTATCAAACATTATATTTGAAATTTATTTAAAGTGTCAAATATACAATATAAGTTTCATAAGTGATAGAATTTTTTTTAGAAGGGACGGCAAAAGCTTTGCCGCAATTTTTATTAGAGAGAAAATAAAAATATAAGGGCCGGCCCAGTGTTTTGAGTGGAAACTGGGCCAAAAAACATGAACCGGGAGAGTCTACCACTCATCCCGACCAACTTTTCAAAACACCATCCAAACAACTAACAACTTTACCCTACCACTTGCTCAACCTCGAGCCAACTTGGTCGAAAGTGACCCAACTAGCAACTCAACTAGCTATCAACTAGAGGAACTATCATCAGTTATATAGTTACAAGTGCTGCGTAGCATATGGACGTTTGAGAAAATGTCGAGATCCTAAGTTTGAATCATAGAAACACATATTTTTTTGCCCTCTCCCGGATCCAATTCTGACAGTGATGCTAGATTTAGACCTCTGGTAGTGATGCATGAATCTATATATAGTAGTGAGACAACCGCCCAAGCTTATTAGCAAAGATCTCCATTGCCGTAGTCTCAATCATTTGATAGCCCACTTCCTTTTGGTCTTATCATTCTCCTTTTGAAGAATAGACCAGAAACACGTCCAACAGCTAGCCCCTAAAAATAACATATACTTCCTTCGTCTTGGAGAAATAATCATATTTCAAACAGAAAAAGTTATTTTTGACAAATAATTATTTGAAATCCGGTGGGTCCGGGAGCTCTGTCTAGCAAGGTTTCTAGACCCACCAAGAAGCTGGTGCTCTAACCCTGGGACTACTAGACAAATCTGGTGACCAAGTTGTCAAACCAAGTGTGGAGCCCATGCTTATATCTGGTGATGAGTGCAGAAACCTATACTATAATCCCTTCTCTCGAACATTTTTTAAATGTACTAACTCCAAATGTGTTCTATTTGAACACCAACACCTTTAAGCACTGAGTTAGCATTTTCAAAAAAAATTAAAGCTTTTTTTTTCACTTGCTTCTTGGCCACATCCCTAGATCTAATGTTTATGCATTGTTATTCATCACCTAGTGGCTTTAGATATCGGTAATCGCTTTAAAAATTTCCCTCTTAATAGTACGACTGTATATCCTAAATCCAGATATGCACTCTATTGCACCTCTGGACCGGAGATACAAAACCCCTATTGCATATACATTTGCCTTAGGGCTTGTTTCAATCTCTGTCTCTCTTGTCCAATGTTGAGCACTTGCACCATGGCAATGATTATCGTCTCCATCATCTCCTAGCCTTGTTCAACTCCTTCATGTGGACCTAGCTCAATCATCTCCACTGAAAGAATTAGTCCACCAGTTGTCATTCAGATTGTCTGTTTATTTTGAAGAAATAAGACGTGTTTGGGACCGCTTATAATCAGATTCTAGGTGAAAATAATTGAGAATCCAACCCAAATACCCTTGATTCTTTTTAGATTGTCTAGGAATCGAGAGGTCAAAAGAATCCAACTTGCATTGCATACTGTGTTCTCGGCACCGCAGCTTCCCGCTCATGTTTCGTCGTGCGCAGGCATTTTTCCTCTCGCGTC